GTGTGTGTGTGTGTGTGTGTGTGTGTGTGTGTGTGTGCGTGTGCGTGTGCGTGCGTGTGTGTGCGTGTGTGTCAGTGGCGACCCTAGACCATCAGTGTTTGTTGAGCTCATTACAATCATTAACAAAATATACTATTGGTATAACTTAGATGCTAAATGATTTCTTTATTTTTAAAAATCTCTATGCGTGAAATTAAAAAGAAAACGCATTTTATTATTTTGGGTTAGGGGAATGCACTAGCCAGATATTTTTTAAATAACGTGTGTATCTATCTCAAGTGAGTGTTTGTATATGTCTTTGCGTTAGTGTGTTTATGTATCTCTCTGTGAATTTTTTAGTTTAATTTATTGTACGTTTGTGATCAGTAGTGCTGACTGATATCATATTTCCTCAACACTGCTCCAGTCACCTTCCTCATCACAAACCTCCAGTCGATGAGTTAAGGCTGCCACTTTGATTTTTGCCGACATTAAGTCGGGCTAAATTTAATTTGCCCTTTTTCAGTTCATACATTCAGCAAAAAGTTGTACTGTACGGAATAAATTATTTGAAATGGTCATTTGTAAATAGTAAGTTGAAATAAAAATCTGTTCTATGAAAAAACAGGATATACCACTCATTGGAGATTTTAAAAAGATTTTTTAATAAAATTAAAGCAAATAGGTATCCAACTTGATAGGGCACACTTGATGTTACCTTTATCGTCGCGACTCTATACATTTGTAGACATAACTTCAAGCAATTCCTTCGTCCATTCGTCTGGGTTATCAGCAATAGAATGTTTATATTTCTCGTTTTTCGTTTATATATGCTCCTTTCATTAGTATAGGTTTTTTTTTCATAGTGTGCGAATGGGTAGAATGTCGTGTAACATACATAAACACATTATATATATATATATATATATGAAAAATATATTTATGGGATAAAGTGTTTAGTATCAGAGATAGAGTATGTAAATATAAAATATAAAACTGAATATTGAACAGACTGTTTCATGCTAAACGCAATCATCAGGCCACATGCGTTGTGTTTTTCCTCGACTATGCATTGACTATTTAAAGTCAGTGATGCATTGTGGGTAGTCTGTTGCATTGTTGGTAGTCTATTCTAACGGTTATTTTGGCGGGAGTGGTTTGGTCGTTTGTTTATTATTTACTTTATTTATTTTTATTTTATTTCTTTTTATTCTTTACAGTTTTCGATTTTTAAGTAACATAGTAAAAGGATATGGTATTGTTTATTTCAAATTCATGTGTGAATTGAAGAGTAGGAGTAATTTCATTATTATGTCTAATTGGTGTATATCATGGGGATATGATAAAAGAATGCTATCCGTATATCTTAGGTAAGCAGAGTTTTTAGGTTTGATGTGTTTAAATAGAACGGATTCTGAAAATTTTAGAAAGAGACAAGCGAGAATGCTACTGATAGGTGACCCCATCGGTAAGACGATTTTTTTTCTGAAACAATTTGAACGAGAGGAAACAATGATTAGTTTGTATAGTCTTATAATTTTGTGGACAGAAGGAAGCTTTAAATTTTTTTCAAGTGGTTTCTCAGTATGCGGTTCGTGAAGGGTATATTAATGTATAGAGATTTCATGCCTAAGCTCGCCATAAACATGTTTTCCATATTTACGTTTTTTTATTCACCGGATTAAGTCACCACAATGTTTAAAACGTATGAAAAAATCTCTAACTTTCCCCGACATCTTATTAATACGTGACATCAAGTAATTAGATTTTAAACTTTATCGTAAACCCACTAACAAAAACGATCTAATAAATTTCTATTCCCACCATAAAGAATAAAATCTGCTTTTGTCATTCTACGTCAGAGCCATTAGGATATGTAGCCCTGAATACCTAAATAAAGAAGAGAAATGTATTGAGAAAACATTCTTATTTCTTCACTAACCTCAATGCTAAAAACAAGTCTACAAAATCCACAAAGCCAAAAAACTAAACACCATTTATAAGACTTCTAACAAAAATAACACAAAATTCTTAATCTTACATTACAACAGGCTTTCTACTAAACTTAAAACCAAATTAGGTATCCCTAAAATTAACTTCGTTACATCCCCCCCTCGAAGACAATCTGGGATATAATTCGGAAGAAAAATAAATCCACCACTAATCCAAATGCCGGTATTTATCAATTAAATTTATTATGCAAAAATGTTTATCTAGGGGAGACATCACGTGATATAAAATCCCGCATCTACGAAGGCAAAAGACAATTACGTTTGGACAATCTTTCAAACTCTCTTGTATTACACGGGAACAAAACCGGCCATAACTTAGATTTTACACCCTAATTAAAACGGACATATTGTTTAAGGGGGAAATACTTAGAAAGCTTAATAATAACATCATTACCAATTATAAACACACGTCTCAAACATTATATTACATCGCCAAATTTTATTGAATCCATTCTTAAAGAATCTAACTTATGTCTAATACAAATACTACGTACATAAAGACATTCTTATATCAACACACGATCAAACCAACAGACATGCTGTCTGCTGGACAACAGTGAAAACATCAGTGCATGTTTGTGTGTATGAATACAAATATATATATATATGTGTGTGTGTGTGTGTGTGTGTCTGTGTGTGGTTTTGTATTTTCTCTTTATCTTCTATATGTCATTTCAACCACTGGTTATAGTAACTATTTTTACATTACCGGAGAATAATAATTATATCCACAGATAAGTTCTAAATTTTGTTCGTAATGTTGGCTGTCCTGGTTATGACAATAAACTACATCCGAGTCCTGGGTAAGACGATAAACTACATCCAACAGCAAGGCCTCTGATCAGGAGGTTTTGAAGAGCGTGGAACCAACTCTTAATTGCTGGTGTTCCCAGGTCCACCTTGACCCGGGGTAGTAGCACCTGTTAGGGTCCCAGCTATGGGCAAATAGTTAATACCCAAACTTGTGTAAAAATAGGTTTTAATACCCGAAATACTTTGTAATAATAATAATAATAAAATTATTACCAGCAATAATTTTTTTAAGGAAAAATTATCATCGGCAATACTTTAAGAAAAATACTAGCAAAACAATTAGCTGTGCATTTTTTGAAAAAAATAATCCCAGAAATACATTTTTGAAGAAAAACATTACCAGAAGTAAAAATTTTGTCGGCATTAAATAACCCATTGACGTTGATATGCTGTAAACCAAACCAAACCGACTGCAAGGCCTCTGATCATTTAGGGTCCGAGCAATGGGCAAATTGTTAACCCTCCCAACTGGGGTCAAAACACTAAGAAAGTGTAAAAAATAGGTTTTAATACCAGCAATGCTTTATGTATAAAAATTGTTACAAGCAATACATTTTTGAAGAAAAATTATTACTAGCAATAAAAATTTTGTTGGCATTAAATAACCCATTGTGGTTGATAAGCCGTAAAACAAAACAAACCACACCAAACTAAATCGTAATGTTAGGTGCTGAATAACAAGACGACCAAATATTCGTTTTTTTCCTATTTGATTATTTACTCTATATTCGGACTGTTGTTCACATCTTTTTTGTAATTACAATTTTTCGACTGTCGAAAGGCCTTCCTCAGGTGTATATCGATCTAGGTAACCTGCAGGAAAATATGAACTGAACCTTTATTTGATTTACAGCGGTAGACAATTTTCCTTCCACTGTCCATATTTAGAGATATTGTCTAGTTCTTATTTTTAGTAGAGTGGAACGAAAACAGTCTACCCCAGTAAATTAAATAAAAGGTTCAGTTTAGAATTCCCTGAAGGTTACCCAAATCAATATGCACCTGAGGAAGGCCAGAAAGCACAACAAGATAAGGACAATAGTCCGGTGTAAATAGCGTAAATAATAAGAATTACTCATCCCAGAAATTCGGACAGAAAATTTAGTGTTCAAGTTTTATTTTCTGTCTTCAAAGATATTCATGAAGTCAAAGGTCAGTCATTTTCTATAATTTTTGATACTTTTGAATATGTTAAAACTTTGAAACAGAAATTCTCCCTCAGCCACTGAAAATGTTTTACCATTCTCTTACGCCAAAAATTCCTCTCATATTATTTCGCCGAAAGGAAAAAGTTACATAACAACGGTTAATGATGATCCCGAAAGTAAATTTTAATTTCTTATTAGCGGGATTCCTAAAACATCTGAAAAACATTAAGATATATCGATAAGTTATTTTTCGTTATTGCTTACCCGACATTCATTACTTCATTCTTACCTTTCTCTAGTCATTCATCTCTCCTCATCTTCTCACTCAACTGTTCGTATCTCTCTCTCTCTCTCTCTCTCTCTCTCTCTCTCTCTTTCACTCACTACTCTCACTAATTAATCCTCGACATCTTCCCCTAGACATTTCTGTCTCTCCTCTCTTATCGTTTTCCCTTTTCTCATTCACTTGTTCATCATTCGTCATACTCTCTACGCATTCACCCCATTACTTCCTTCTTCCCCATTCACCCTCCCATTATACCTCCTCCGCTCTTCTCACACACCTCCACATCACTCCTCGCTACTTTTTCGCTCTCTCTCACACTTTACGCACCTGTTCATACCCCCTCTCTCTCTCTTGCTATTAATCCTTTCTCTTACCTTTCCAGGTTGATCGTTCCACACCACCTCTCTCTCCCGCTCACTCATTAGTTCTTAATTTCTCTCTCTTTCACTCTTTGTCTGTCTCTCCCAACACCTGCATCACATTGAAACATCGATTCCGAAAGATCATCGAAGTTAAGCAATATCGAGCCTGGTCAGTATCTAGCTGGGTGACCACTTGGGAATACCAGATTTTTAAGCTTTTGAATGTGCGAGTGGTTTAATGGATAATGGTTCGGAATTTGGTAAAAGCTGTGTTCCAATTCCCGTTAGGTTCGTTATATTCACTTACAATTCTTAGAATCTAAAAATATTTTCGGGCTTTAAATAACCTGCAACGGGTTGATAACGCGTAGAAAACGAATCAATCTCTCAACAAGCTCACATGTTCCACCTGCTTTTTTTTTCACCTCGCTTACCTGATCATCATCCCTCACTTCCTTCCCTCACTCATCTATTCATTATTCCCCCCCCCCCGCTTCTGTCTCTATTTCTCTCTCCTTATTCACCTGGTCATCTCTTCTTTCTCTCTCCTCATTCACCTACTCACAATTCCTTACTTTTCCTCTCTTTTTACTCACCTGTTCAGCAATCGTTTCTCTTTCATCGTCCAACTATTCATCATTCCACACTCTCTCTTCTCACCTGTTCATCATCCCCCCCTCTATTTCTCTCTCATTTTACTCACCTGTTCAGCAATCCCTTCTCTCTCCTCGTTCAACTGTTCATCATCCCCCACTCTTTCTCCTCACTTGTTCGCCATCTCTCTCTCTCTCTCTTTCTCTCTCTTTCTCTTCTCACTCAACCAACCATTAATCCTATCTCTCTTGTCCCTCTCCTCATGGTCATCACTTTTTACTGTCTTTCCTAAATTATATTTTCATTATTTCTTCGTCTCTTTCTCCTCACTTGACCTCGCCATTCCTCAATTTCACTCCTCCCTCCTATGTTCATTATTCTACCCCCTCTTTCTTTACTCACCTGTTCTTCTCTTTTTGCCTATTTCTCATTCCTCACACTCCCCCATCTCTCTTCTGTCCCCTCTCTTCATTCCTCTCTTTCTTTCTATCCCCTCTTTTTTCTTTATTTATTCTTCCATCTTTCATAGCTTTTTCCAAAATTCTTTCTCTTTCTTTTTTTTTTTTTTTTTTTTTTTGTTGTCTCTATGGCATGATATTTTTGCAAAACAGCCACCCTTTCGTCTTGATTCTTTCTCTTCATTTCATTCTTCAGAAATTCTTTCTCTGTGCAAACACCCCTACCGGCATCTATTTTGGGTCTTAGCACATTTTCATCTCGACTACCCCCCACAAATACCACATTACTCACCCCCACACTCGACAAGAGAGAACAAAAACCTTCTGCTACTCCAATAAAAGCCCAAAAGTTAATTTTATACACAATTTACTCACGCCTTGTAATCCGGGATGAAACTAGAACTATTTCGAAAAAGACGTGTATCAAACACCACAATACCCCACCAGCAACCACCCCTCCCTCCCCCTCTCTCTCTATCTATCTATCTATATATCTATTTATCTATCTATCTCTTTGGGTCGTGGCTGAGGAAGGGCCAGCGGGCGGTGGCCTGTGGCGCGGGGGTGGCTGACGGTTTCCTCTCGTCTTTTTCCCCAACTCGACGTGAAACTGTGGAAATGATGTTGTGCGGGGAAGGTGCTTCTGCCCATAGAAGAGAAGATGAAATCTCTAGCGTGTCTAAACACATGCAGACCAATGCGTTTGCATTTCGGGGTCCGCTTCTTTACACCGATTTGCCCATCCGTCTAACTCGATTCATTCCTGTGTGTTCCTTTTTGTTAGAGACCATGGGAGTGCCTGAATCTATCAGTGTCTAAGTGCACCATGTACTTATCTATTGTTCTGTTATCAGGTCTGTGACTTATCGAGGATTTAAACCGTTGAACCCTCCCCGCCCTTTGTTGTTCCGAATATGCAAAAATCATCTCATATCTTTAAATGGTTTCTTGGATGGATTATTTAATATTTCTATGATTAATCAATAAAGAAATGAACAACTTTGATTTCTTCTCGTACATGTATTGATCTGTGAATTTGTTTTCGTGTGTTTTACCAGTTGAATTATTGTTTCATATAGTTGGCTAATAATACTACTCACTGCAAATGATAAATGTTTTTTATAATATCTATCTATCTATCTATCTATCTATCTATCTATCTATCTATCTATCTATCTATCTATCTATCTATAACACCAACAGATCACTCGCATATATATATATATATATGAGAATGATGAGACAAAGTGTAAAATCTTTAATCAAAGACGCGTTTCACCGAAGAAAATGTTCTTTTTCGCTTGATCAGTTCAAAGCGACTTTGATTAAAAATTTTACACTTTGTCTCATCATTCTTACTTTTGTTGCGGATACTATTACACATCCTACCAACATACACACATACATACACCCATACACACACACACAAACAAACACACACACAAACAAACAAACACACACACACAAACAAACACACACATATATATATGTATGTATATATATGCAGGAATACCTCATGTAATACGCATTCAATTAATGCGTTATAAAAATTTATACGAGAATTCGATTAGTGCGTATCTAATGCTCGATTAGTGCGGTAAAATATTTTTCAGTTTAATCATAGTAGTTGAAAATTTATTTTTTTTATAGATACCGATTAATTAAAATTTTCTAAAATTAAAATGTAAAATAGGTAACAATTGTGTTTTTTAATTTTGTTTATATTCGATTAGTGCGTATCTGAATTAGTCGCACTAATTGAGGGATTCCTCTCTCTGTGTGTGTGCATGTGTGTGTGTGTGTGTGTGTGTGTGTGTGTGTGTGTGTGTGTGTGTCTTTTGCATTATGCTGAAAATGTTCATTCTTTTGTGGCTCGTTTAGTTTTTAAGCATTCAAAAAGTTTGTTTTTATATATTAACGTCAAAATGTATTTATATTTGATTGATTAAACATTGGGAACAGAAAGAATAAGCAACACTTTCGGTGAATTATGCGTTTTTAATTTATGAAATGTAAAATTCGCCACAAAATTAGCTAATTATAAAGAAGTTATTGCCATTGATTGTAGTGGATAATGTTTTGTTTGTTTTTGATGTACGAAATTCAATAGTCAAGCTAGATTTGATCACAAAAGTCAATTTATTACTTGAATCGATGCGTGGGATTGATTCGAACAAGTACTGCTCACAAAAGGATTCAAGTGAAGGCAGAAAATGTTGCAAACATACGTCTGTATCTATCATTACAATTGACTATATCGCTTTCGATGTTCTTTGATGTAGATAGAACATGAAGTGTAACGTCGAATGTGCATTTTATATTCAGCCATTATTTTTATTTTAAAAAATGCAAAATTATAACTTGTCTGCAAATGATTTTTAGAATCTAAAACATGATTCCACTTAATGATAGGATTTAGGAACCTTCGTCTAAAGAATATTGGTCTAAGGAACATTAGTTTAAGGAACATTGGCCTAAGGAATGTTGGTCTAAAGAATATTAGTCTAATGTAAACCTGTCTAAGAACATTTGCCAAAGGAATACTTGTCTAAGAACATTGATCGATAGAATACTCATCTAAGGACACTGATCTATGGAATACTCGTCTAAGGAGTCTTGGTCTATAATAATATTTTTTAATAAATTAACATTTTATTCATTTACAAAATACTCAATTTTATTGACACTCACTATATTACAGAATAATATATAAGATACTTTTAGCAACATTATTATAGGTACACGTGGTTTATAAGGATTTATTGGTATGCATGCCATATTTCTCAAGACAAATATTTCTTAGACGAATGTTTCTTAGACAAATGTTCTGGATCCCTTACTTATATATTTTATCCGTTGACATTTTGAGTAAATTTCACTATTTCAGACTTGCCTCTGTAACAATCATCAGTGAAGATCAACAAATGAACACGACAAAGTTACTCATATGAAACGCTCTGCTCTACTTTCATGTTAGATTCTTTTTCGTATGTCAATCCTGGCAATAAGGAGATCATCATTTTACAAAAAATATAACAGTGGCAATATTTACATTTAGTAAATGTGATCGACATCTTTTGTTAAGACATAAACCTTTTCTAATGATTTGCGGAAAAATTTAAACAAAGAGTTTAGCCATTACATTTACCTTGTTCCTCAGTGGACGGAGAAGTAAATGCTGGCTTGCTAGTACTCCAGTCTTTAAACACCAGACCAACACAACCAAGGTAAGTACGCAGGTATGAATAAATGGATTTGGTACATCAACTATAAACATTTAATAATAAAATGTGACATTTGATTCGATTAATATTGCATTTTCTTCAACAAGCAAATTCGATGTCAGATTCGTCGTCTTTTAGCACAACATTTTAACCTATATATTCCACGGTTTTCCTTAAGTTTTACAGTTTCATATCTTTAGCTAGAACTTTTAGTTTAGCAGAATCTTATGACTGGCTGAAACGGTCTGCTGATGAAAATTTTGAGATAATAATCATGTAGCGATGAGAGGGTAGGGTTTTCATTTGAGGTGAAAAAAAAAACAAGTAACAAACTGCTTCTAAAAGTCTAACGGATGTAAGAGACACGTGAAGGAGACCGAAGAACATGCTGGCCACGAAGTTATATAAGGTCGGCAAGATAATCAAATTTGGAATTTAAATTTCAAAAAGTAGTTCAAATCTTTAAATTAAAAAAAGCGTTTTAAAATATTAAATTTATTAGAAAATCCGTTCAGTTTAAATAGAGAAATTACAAAAATGAATTCTAAGGATCGCATATTTTGGTTTATAAACTTTTTCTGTTTCACGGGGATTATTGCCGGACATAGAGGAAAATTATTCATATAGCCACTACAGTTCCATTCAAATTGTGTGTGTGTGCGTGTGTGTGTGCGTGTGTGTGTGTAAGCATGTGTCGATTTTAATTCAATGAAAGACTTAAAACTAATGTTTTAAAAATCTTAAAACAAACAAAAAACAATTCTATTTATTACCGAATAATTTCTGAAAAGTCCAATAAAATCACATAATTATTTGATTGAATCTTTTCTGTTAATTCAACCCAAATAATGTAAAGTTATTTATCGCAAATATTAATTCACTCCAAGAACTTGTAAATTTTAAATCAAATTTTGTTTGATTTTTATTAAATTTTGGCACGCTTTTAAAATTATACATTTCAAATCAAACTTTGTTTTTTTATTAAATTTTTGGCGCTCACGCCAAAACGAAGAATAATCCATGTTTGGAATTCATCGCAACATGATAGGCTTTTCTTATTTGTGTGAGTTCCTTTAGAGACATAAGGCAAAAAATAACAATGAATGCATTTTTAAACAAATTTTAAAGGACATTTCTGAATTTTGGTATGAATTTTAGGAAATATAAATGTTTTTTGCTCTGCGGTGAATTAATATCTGGGGGAGGGGAATTAACAGAAAAAATCCATTTGATTAGTTATAGGATAAAAAGATTATTTATTTTTATTTTATCACTAATTTTGTTATTTCATTGCTCAGTTCATGATAGGTGTTGCCCAACATTTATGTAGTGGGAATGTATTATTTCAGTGTCTTATTTCAAATCCAGTCAAATATATGTACGTATGTGTGTGTATGCGTGCGCCTGCGTGTATATTAAATAACACAAGCATATGTATAGGTGACACACGCACAAATAGAGATATACATTACATATACGCATGCAAAGGTACACACAAACTGTGACGGACAGAATTAGCTCTTCTCAGCTCAACACTTGACAAAGATAATGGCACTAAAGTTCTGAGCATTTTAAAGGATTGGCGATTTTCATTAAGGAATGTCATACGTGTAAAAATATTTTGCTTTAGAAACTAGAAACGTTGATATTAATGTTTTTCTCTGGAGAAGAAATATTTTTTTAAAAAAAAAAGATATTTTTTGTATTTTCAAGTGAATCAATTAGTGAATCAATTAGAAACAATTCACGCGCAACAGAATGGTTTAATCACAGAATGGAATTATCACAGTATGATTTAATCACAGAGTATCATCAAAGATAATATTATACGTAATCTACAATTTTTAAATTATAGAACAAATCTTTTGTCCAAATATAAAATATCATAACAGATGACTACGCTTATGATCTTCTGTAGCGAAAATGGTCGCTTTACTTTCAACAAGGTTCTAAGCTGATCCAATCTTGGCCTTGATCTACCGTAGAATTTAAAATAAAGCAGGTACAACAAAATGGATATAAATAAAAGGACTGCCTGATTTGGAATCTGCTGTGACCAAATTGGTTAAGGTTTTGTCTATGTAAGACAATCACGGTGGTATGAGAAGCAAGTTCAGATCGCATTAGAAACAACTTTTATTATTTCGATTATATTAAATCAGTCGAAAAGTGGAGTGACCTAAAAGATTGTGATAAAAATCTGAAAATAAACTGTGGCGTTACAATTGTCTCTCTTGTTTTAATAACCAAGAATTTTAACAGAAAGAATTAAGCGTTGTAAATGAAATACAAATTAAAAAAAAAACAATTAAGTGGCACTAGTTTTATGCAACTGGTCAAAATTCTACCATTATTTGTAGATGTGACCCTAAAACTCGATAACAAAATCCAAGCGAAACCGAGTAAGGTGCTTAATCATGTTAATAGTTTCAAGTACCTCTCGGGTTTATATCAAGGAGCTTGCCAATTATAGCAGAAGACGCGTCAAATAAGTGGCCGGACTTTTGCAGGCACCATATTTGGAAGGAGAAAATTGTTTAACAAGATTAAGATTAATCTTTTCTGTCCAAAAATAGTTCTGCTCTTTGAGTTCAA